GTTGTGTCGCCCTGCTTCTTGCTGTGCCGTTTTGGTTCTTGTTGTGGCTACTACGCTATATGCTGTCGTTAGCAGTTGGTTCGTTTTTTTTTTTCAAGTTCAACTTGAAAAGTTTCTGCTTGCATGCATGCACGCACGCACGCACGCAAGCAACACACAACACACAACACAACCACTACGCCACCCCCTTCCTGTCAATGTAAAACCCTGCCACCCTGACAACGCCACGTGGCGATGCCTCATTTACAACACACGTGTGCTGACAAGTGACGTTGCATCGAATCAGCCGCGAAACGGTTGGACGGACAGGGACGCACAACTTGGACATGGCATGTCCCGATGCTGTGTTTCAACGCAGCATCGTTGTTGGGCGTTGTTGTTCGTTGTTGTGCGTTACAGTTGCGAAGTGACACACCTTGACGCAAGTCAGCAACCTTCGGTGTGCCGTTCATGTCCCGTTGTCTGCGTCCTTTGTGTCTTGCGCCTGCACTTTTTTGTTTTGTGTGCTTTTTTCGGACGTCGTGCATGCCTTCCCATCACGACCTGTGGTTATGCTTGGTTGTTGTTGGGGGGAAAGTTTTGTTTGCCGTGCTGCTTCCTCCTCCTTCTTCTTCTCCTTTCGTTCCTCTTTTCATTCCTCTTCTTCGCTCTTGTGGGGTTGCTTGGTTTTGCCGCACTACACACACACACACACACGACTGCCTGACCTGACTGCGCCAACCAACAAACCAGACCGAACCGAGCCAAGCCAGACCAGATATCCGGTGCTGCCACACACACGCCACACACGCCACACACACACGGCACAACCTGGATCCACGTCTGCATTCCTGCCTACGTTCCCAACCAACCCACAACACACACACACACACACACACAACTCTCAAACACAAGCCTGCCCCCTCCCATCTTCGTCCAGATAGATTCCTTTGCGGGCGTGAAGAGGGCGGCAAGCCGTGTTTTGCTGACGCCGCGTTCGCGTGAGTTGTGTTTTGGTGTGTGTATTGTATTGTTTGTATGTGTTGTTCGAAGGTGGGAGTTTGTTTGCGTGAGCATCCTCTGCTTTGCTTCGCTTGGCTTTGCTTTGCTTTGCTTTTGCGTGGTCGGCGACCAACCAGTCATCACCACAGTCTCCAACCAAGCAAACCAACCAAAACCTGCACATTCATTTCCACCACTCACACGCAAGAGCACACAAGGGAGGGGTTCCCCGCTTCATTGCTGCTCTCATCGTGCCTTCCTTCCAAACTCACCACCACCAACAACAACAACAACAACACCACCACCGGCGCCGCCAAACGCGCCAACAGAGAAGGAACGGCGTCCACCATCACGGCTCCTCTTCGACACCTCACGTCTTCCTCTGGAGGCAGCGGTGCTGCACCACAACAACAACAACAACAACACCCGAGCTGCGCCGACAGTTTGACAACACCTAGGATACCACAGCCAACACCAACAACAACAACAACAACAACAACAACTACTACTACTACGACAACACCACCAACGACTGCACCCGCCGCCACACGTTGTGAACAGCATGCTCCAAGCGATGGACGGGTATTCGCACACCACCACCGCCAGCAACGACGGCGCGACAACCGTCGCCTCGTCGGCCTTTGCTGATCCCCACCAGGCTTCCTCCACCCGCGCCTTCTTCGCCAGTACTGCGAGCACCAGCTCAAACACAAGCAGCAGCAGCATCAACACCGCCGCCGTCGACAGCCACGCGCGCGTCAACACCAACAACGCCAGCTACGTGCCAACGCAGCAGCAGCAGCAGCAGCAGCAGCAGCAGCACTACCACTACACGCGTTCAGCCTACCAACAGCAACACCCGCTGCGCCAGCCACGCCGCAGCTTCCCCGACTCGTCCTCGCACACGTCCGCGTACCTCGACCTGGCCACGGACACAGACAGCCACCCCTTTTTCCACCAGCTGACACCAACGGCAACGGCATATTCGTCGTACCATGCAGAGGCAGCGTCCTCCGGCCAATCACGGGGCGAATTCGACGATGAGAACTTCCAGCGCTTTGTGGCGGACCTCGTCGACGACAGCGACTATCCAAACACCCCAAAGCAGCTGTAAGTCTGTGGGGGTGTGTAGCACTGTGTGTGTGTGTGTGGGGGGGTGTGTAGCACTGTGTGTGTGTGTGTGTGTGTGTGTAGCACTGTGTGTGTGTGTGTAGCACTGTGTGTGTGTGTGTTTCTGGTTACTCTGACACTGCTCGCTCGATTGTGCTCTCATCACCTTCTACACCTCTTTGCTTGCCCCCCCCCCTCACACACACCCTGCTCCACCAAATTGCAACAGCTCCCACCCCTCCAGCGCCACAAGCAACGGGCAGCCTTCGACGGAGCCGCACTCGCCACGTACGTTCATCCGTTCGTGTCTTCAACGATACACACGCACATGCACACGTACACATGCTCTGTGCCGAACGACTGCTTTCGCCTTCCCCTTGTGTGCTTCCTTGTGCTCACCGTGCACCTTCGCGCTGGTGCTGTGTGCCTGAAGGCAAAGACACCGGGTGGGCGAGCCATGTCGATGCGCTCGCACCAACGCCCTTTGTCACGTCCTCCCACTCTGTCTGGGCACCCGGCTCCACCAACGACACACCGCTCACCGCCAGCCAGGCCAACGACCCTGCTCGCATGGCATTCGAGGGTCATCCCTTGCCAAAGGATGGTGCGTGTGTGTGTGTGTGTGTGTGTGTGTGTGTGTGTGTGTGTGTGTGTGTGTGTGTGTGTGTGTGTGTGTGCTGGAAACAAGTGTCGCTGTTTTAGACACAACCGGCTTCCTCTTCCTTTCGGCTTCACCTACCCTCCACCACCTCACCATCATCCCCCTTCCTCCCTTCCCTCCATCACTCTTGACCTTCGCGACACCTTCGTGTGTGCCAGACATTGCGTCGCAGTTGAACCAGCTCACCCTTGATCCGCTTCCCAAGCTTGAATTCGGAATCGGTGCGTTGCTCTCTGTCTCTCTCGCTTTGTCTCTCTCTCTCTATCTCTCTCTCTCTCTCTCTCTCTCTCTCTCTCTCTCTCTCTCTCTCCGCATGAGCAGTAAACTGGGGCTCGCGCGGTCTGTACTTCTCGGACGAACGAGCGAGACCGCCGATATTCTCAATTCCGTGACGGGGCCATAACCCTGTGAGCAGCCCGCGTCGTCACCATGGGCGCCCAATTTTCGTGGATTTCCTTCGCAAACTAAACAAAGATGTGTGACCTCTACACCTATAGGTACGTATAAGAGCAATCGTGGACACGCCCGAAAAGGTATGATCGGCTGTTCCGGGTATAACTGGCCGATTAGAAGTCTCCAGGGCTTACACGGATACGACGTTAGGGTTGGCATTCCGGGCAGCTCTTTACCAAGTTCTCTCTCTCGCTTTGTCTGCTTTATTTGCTTTGTTGTTGTGCATTACATACATGCTGGCTGTCGTTGCTTGTTTTGGACAAACACACACACACACACACACGTATTTTTTTTTCCTTACACATACGCCTGCGCCGTGTTTCTCCTCACCTTACACGTGTCTCTGACGACAGGCCGGCCGCAAACGTCTGCGCCGCTGTCGCATGACGGCATTGCGACGCTGGACCGCGCACAGCACTCGCGCACAGCCGACATTGCGCTGCTGGACTCGTACCAGCGCGAACGCGCCGTGCATGCACCACACCAGCAACAGCAGCAGCAACAGCAGCCGCCACAGCTGCACCGCCGCCTGTCGCCGCATGAGCACTATCGCCTCAAGCAGCAGCAGCGCCAGCAGCAGCACAAGCAACAGCAGCAGCTGCAACAACTGCAAGAGCAGCGCGCCACGTCAACCTACTACACGTACAACCAGCAGGGACAGGTTAACGCGACCAACAACGCCAACGCCAACGCCAACGCAGGCCTTCCCCCGCTTCGCCGCACCCGCAGCGCAGGCATGGACGTGCCACCGCCCACCTCCCCCCACCGCGCCACGAGCCTCGCTGGCCTGCACGGCATCAGCCCAAGCCTGAACGACCTGTCGCCCCACGCGCTCTCTGGTGGCTACTCGGCCCTCTCCTCGGCACGCGACACGGCCGTTCCCAGCACTGGCACAACACCGCCAGGCACCGACGACCATCGCCTGGCTGTGCTCGAGCACCTTCTCCAGCCGAACGTGAGGCATTTTGCTGTGCTGTGGCTGTGCTGTGCTGTGATGCTGCTGTGGCGTTGGTTGTCGTGTGTTGTGGTTTTGAGCGAGCGAATAGTTTGGGTGGTGTTAAGAATGGTTGTTGGATCGAACTTGCATTGGGTGTAGATGCGTTTCGATTCACTCATGAATGCATGCAAGCAAGGGTCAAGTGCTTCTGTGAAGTCTGCTTGGGTTGATCTGTTCTCATGCGTGTTTGCCGCCATTTGGCGTTGCACGACTGCAGGTGGCGATTGAGCTTGGCGTTGCGATGGACGCCGACGGCTTTTTCCGCGTCAGCGACGTCGCTGCTGCCAGCAAGCAGTGGAAGGAGTACGTTTTGTCCCACTACGTGCCTGTGCGTGTCTGTTTGTGTGCATGTCTGTCTGTATGTCTGTGTGTCTGTGTCTGTGTATGTGTATGTGTATGTGTGTGTGCGTAAGGTTGATCCATCAGTACTTCCTGTTCCACAATGCTCACAACTCACACCGCACCAACTTCCACTGCCACCCTGCCACTGCTCATGTGCTGCGTAGCGTGGATGTGGCGACACTCGCCCTCAAGTCGCGCTGCATCCAGCTCGACACCACCATGTCCCGGATCAGGCTGAATGTGCGGGACCACCACAACCAGCACCAGCAACAGCAGCAGGCTGTCTCGCCCGTGGTTGATCACCGCTCTCCCTCGCGCCCCGCCACTGCTCCACACGACGCCCACATGAACGCCCGCGCGCACCTGGTATGAGAACTTGTCTGTGTCTGCGTGTGTGTGTGTCTGTGTGTGTCTCTGTCTGTCTGTCTGTCTGTCTGTCTGTCTGTCTGTCTGTCTGTCTGTCTGTCTGTCTGTGTCTGTTTATCCGTCCGTCTGTTACCAATGTGTTCCCTGTTCCTTCATCTCCCTCCCCCCCCCCAACCCCAACCCCTTTCAACCTCACGCAATCTGCTCTTGACACGACATTGTCTCACCAACACCATGCCCCCTTGTTGCCTTACAGCGCTCGACGCATGAACCAGCCTTCCACGCCCCTCAGCAGCAGCAGCAGCAGCAGCAGCAGCAGCAGCATCAAGTGAATGTGGCGCCAGCGGACATGACGGTGCCCAGCGGCCAGATGGCGTACGCGTACACGATGCCAGCACAGCCCGTGCACGCACACGCCCACGCCCACGCCCACGCGCAGGTGCCTGCGTCCACGGCGCAATTCACCACCATCAACGGTGTTCCCCAGCAGTTTGTGCCATTCAACCCAAACGTGATCAACGTCATTCACAGCCAGGCGTCCCACCAGCCCCAGCTCTCGGCCCTGCAAGCCATCCCCCAACAGCAACACCAGCCGTCGCAGCTTCAGCAACAGCAGCAGCAGCAGCAGGCAGTGCAGGTGCAAGTGCCCATGCAGACTGCGCCTGTGATGTCGCGCCACTTCTCCCACCAGCGGCTCGACACCATGGCAGGCCAACGTGCCATCCCTCCCATGAACAAGCGTCACTCCATGCCCGCTGGCGGCTACATGCCCCAGGCATACGGTGCGTGTTGCTGATGTGGTTTGTGTCGTGGATGTGGGGATATGTTTGGATCTGTGGGTGTGGGTGTGTGTGTGTGTGTGGGTGTGGGTGTGTGTGTGTGGAGCTTTCATTTGATATGCCTTTCCTTTGGTGTGTCACGTCCTCTCAGTGTATTCACCACCACCACCACCACCACCACCATCATCATCATCATCATTATCATCATCGTCGTCGTCATCATCGTCGTCGTCATCACCATCACCATCACTGCACGTTCCGCTCATCGCCCTTGTTGATGTGTCTTTGCTGTTTCCCCACTGCCATTGTGTGCTCAACACCACCAGGCGCCATGGGCACCGCCGGCCACGCGTTGGTCGAGGAGGACGAGCGCGCTCTCCAGGACGCCGGTTGCCTGCAGGCATCGATGGCCGGGCGGCGGTCCTTCCAAGCACACGGCCCAGCCTCGCACCAGCACGCGGGCGGCAACGGCGGCAGCATGCAGGGGCGCCCGCAGCACCGGCGCAAGGGGAAGAAGTGGTCGGAGTTGATTGAAGAGCAGAACGTGCCCGAATCCGAGCATGACCTGTGGTACTTTATGAAACTCATTCGCCTCCACAAGTACACGCCAAAGTTCTACGGCATGACCCTGTGAGTGCTGCTGTGGGTTAAATGTGTTGGGGGGGCTTGGCTTGTGAACGTTGTGTGTGTGTGTGTGTGTGTGTGTGTGTGTGTGTGTGTGTGTGTGTGTGTGTGTGTGTGTGTGTGTGTGTGTGTGCGTGTGTGGGGGGGGGTTGTGTGTGTAGTGTACTTGTGTCGTTTGTTGATGCACTGGCTGATCACGATTTACATACTCACGCGGCCTTTGTTTGTTTGTTTTGTTTTCTCGGCAGCGACCAAGTCAAGGCGCTCACGGATGAAGACTTGACCAACATGGGCATGACAAAGGTGCAGCACAACAGAACACGCGCGCAACAAATGCAACAAGCACGCGTGCAACAATTGCAACACAAAAGTGAACTTAACAACCTGCCGCGTGCAGCCAGATGTTTTGCTCTATTTGAGATCCATGCTTGCATGCAACCACTCATGCTGTCCTGTACTTGCTTACTCCCGTGCATGCACTTTGTGCTCTTCAGGGTGCCCAAGGCAAGCTTCGTCTCGAGCTGTCGCTTCTGCCGCCAGATGCAAAGACGTTCCCGCGCCGCCTCCGCCGCGACCGGTATGTTGTGTTTGTGTGCTTGTATCTGTGTGTCTGTGTGTCTGTGTGTCTGTGTGTCTGTGTGTCTGTGTGTAGTTGGTACCTTCAACATTAACTGTAGCCATCCCACCGCCTTCCTTTGAAACGCGCCCCTCACACACACACACAACCACCACCACCACAAACCACCAACCCTCACTTCGCCCCAATTCGCTCCTCCCCGTGACAGGTATGAGAAGCTCAACAAGCAAAAGGCGGAGGCGAGTGCCGCTGCTGGGAACGACGGAACCGACGACACCAACACGCCCTCCTCCTCCTCCTCCTCGTGAATGGGCACAGCATAAGGACCTGTGCTGCGAGGCAGCAGGCGACACTGTCGTGTGCCTTGTTCATGTGTTGTTTGCGTCTCATGTGTGGGTGAGCGTGTGCGTTTGGTTATGGTTTCGCTTGTGTTGAAGCGACGAACTACACACACCACACATGCACATGCGCACACGCACGTGCACACGCACATGCACGCTACGCATGCGTGTGTTTGTCTGCGCTCCCTTTGTTTGTCATTTTGATTTGTTCTTTTCGTTGTTTTGGCTGCATGCAGCTGCGTTTCTATCTTTCATGTGTTTGTGATGTGACCGGAACTGTCACCCGCCGTGGTGCATTGCACGTGCGTGAAGTTTCGTGTTGTTTGTGTCAGCGACCGTCGTGGTGTTTCTTTTGTTGTTGTGTCGCCGCATGCATGTTGGTTGCATGTGTGTCGTGCGACTTGGAATGTGTTTGGCTGGTTGGAAGGGTTGGTCATCACTCGTGCGTGCCAGTCGCGCCCCCAAAGTGGTTTGTTGATGGTCGGCTTACGGCGTCATATGCTTAGTACCTTGCGCCATGTGCAAGGTTGTGTGTGTATGTGTGTGTGTGTGTGTGTGTGTGTGTGTGTGTGTGTGTGTGTGTGTGTGGTTTCTGCTCATGTTACCTCCAACCTTCTTCTTGATTGGTGACTGTGGGTGGTGCCCGTGGTTGTTGCCTGTGATCTTGATTGAATCTTTGTGAAGCACTGAACGAAAGAAGAACGAGGGTTGAGGAGGGAAGAGAGGGAGGGATGGACACGAACAAACGCAGGCAGGACATGTACATGAACGCACGCACTCACACACACACACACACACACACACACACACACACACACACACACACACACACACACACACACACACACACACACACACACACACACACACACAACGTGCTCAGTCTGTCGTGATCTTGTAGGTGACGACAAAGCCTTGTTCGCGAGCAAGACCCGATGCGCCTTGGGTGCTGACATATCCACCCACAGCCAACGTCTCGCCGCCATCAAGCACCTCCAGTGACAGCGCGTGTGCCTTCATGCCTGCAACACCATCTTGGAGCGTCCACACAATGCCGCCATCCACCGGTGACACGGCCGTCACAAACAGGTCGCGCGTGCCCTCCCGCATGTTTCCGTGCAGCGACCCATCCGTGAACCCTGCAACGTATAGCAGCTCGCTCTGCGCGTCGTACACCATGGCGTGGGCGCGGTCAATGTGCTCTGTTCCAAACTGCGTGCACCACAGGAGACGGTCGTTGCCGGTGATGGGCGTTGAGTCTACGTTGCTTGCGTCAAATGCAAGCACAAACGCGTCGTCACGACCCTGGTTGTCGTTGTTGGGAAACGCCCCTCGCGTGTAGCCTGCAACATAGACGACGTCTGTGCTGCTGCCGTTCACTGCAACCGCCTCTGCACGATCAAAACCTGGCGTGCCAACGTGCACTCCCCACGTGTACGGCGGATCGTTTGGGTTGTCTCTCGTTCCCTTGGCGATGAGTACATCCGTCATGCCATACAGCTCACCAAAATACGTTGTGGCTGACCAGCCAGCAGCAAACAGGATGTCGTCGGAGTTGCCAATGGGCCGGGCGACTGCCAACAGGTCCGCAGCGCTCGGGCTGCCAAAGCGAGTCCGTCTGGGTGCTTTCTCTGAAATGTACGAAAAGAACGCAATTGTACTTGCGGTCGCGATGCAACCCACAAATGATGGCAACACCCTACTCTGATCATTTAAATCGTGCGCCACAGTCACGGCATTGATTGTGGTGAACTGCAATCGCTGGTTGGTGCCCAGCACAGTGCCAGTTTCGCCATCAACGATGAAGGCCATGCCAGGGTAAGACGAATCGTCTGTGTGCCCCGTGAACGTTTGGCTATCAGAGACACCGACAACGTAAACGCCGTTGTAGCGCGGATCAAACACGACGCCACGAGCCTCGTCGTCGTGCGCCCATCCAATCTGCTGCGCCCACAGCATCTCTGCCTCGGGCGTGTCCAGGCTCATCTTGAACACGAGCATGTCCTTGCCGCCCTGCGACTCGCGGAACACGAACCCCTCCGTGTGGCCCGCCGCCACAATGGAGTTGGTGGTGGGGTCATAGGAGATGTCGTTGATGCGGCTGCTGGCGGTTGTCACATTCAGCTGCTTGGCGGACCACACGCGAGCCGTGCGCTGGACGCCGTCGTCCGTGCTCGTGGTGCTGGCGTTTCGGTCGAAGGCTGACCCGTCGAGCGTGCACCGGCGCGTCTCTTCCAGGACATGGCTCAGCTGCGACAGGTCAATGTCGTTGACGAAGACGCGCTGGTCCCCAAACGTGGACACGTGCAGGTTGCCGTACTTGTCGCTGAACAGCTTCGGAGCGTCGCTGGCGCCCAAACCAAAGCATGCGGTCGTGGCCACAGTCAACAGGAGGACAGCACAGACCGCAAACATGCCGAGGACAGCGCAGGACATGGTGGCGGTGCGGGAAGGCTGGAAGGGGGGAGGAGACTGACAGTGAGAAGTGCTTGCTTGCTTGAGCGCTTGGAAGAAGAAGAAATGGAACAGGGGGGCTTGGGAACTCGACGAGCGAAGCCAAGAACGATCGCGTGGTGTCTCGACGAGAAGACGAGGGCAAGGACAAAGAGACAAACGGACAACAAAGAAAGAGGTGTGGTTGAAAGTGGGTGGGTGCACTGTGAAGCCAAACACAAATTTCTTTGTTCGCCTTGTTGTGCCTCGAGTGCGTGCGAAAAGGACCAAGGAAGATCGTCAAGGGCTGCGAATGAGACTGCGGCTGAATTCAGGGTGTTGCGTTTGTGTCTGGGGTTGGTGTGTGTGTGTGTGTGTGTGTGTGTGTGTGTGTGTGTGTGTGTGTGTGTGTGTGTGTGTGTGTGTGTGTGTGTGTGTGTGTGTGTGTGTGTGTGTGTGTGTGTGTGTGTGTG